CCCCCCCCCCCCCCCAAAAAAAAAAAAAGCCCAAGCCCCTAAACCCTAAACCCTAAACCCTAAACCCTAAACCCTAAACCCTAAACCCTAAACCCAAAGCCAGGCACTCTACGAGGTCCTTTTGGATCCCGCAGATTTCAGTGAGGAGGTCGGGCTCAGCAGCCACAGCTCCTGGAGGTAGCCAGGAGCTCGCCGGTAGGGAGTCCAAACCCCCATGCCAAATATGTAATTAATAATGTATCGTTAGTAACATACACATATATATATATATAATAATCGTATATAAAACCCCGATAGTACCATTAATAGTTCATTCAGAATATGAAGGGTGTGAATCGCGGTCTGACCTGATAGCGCAGGGCCCGGCTGTCGGCGCGGTTTACTCCTGAACACTGGAAATGTGCAAACCTGACCGTTTTAAGTGGTTCCTGATCATGGCTTCGTCCTATGTTTTCTTAGTAAGGTAGGCTTTTGGACTAAGATTGGCTCTGAATCGTATCGATCCCCGCTGTGTGGGTGCCTCAACAAGGCAACGGCTGCGATGGTAATGATGAGAGAGTCGTATGATGATGAGCCTCGTCATCATGGTTGTTAGTGACCCCACCAACTCATCACCGTCGATCGTCACCAGCACCACCTGCCATAGTCACGGCCCCGTCCACATCTGTTTCTTTCACGATCTCCACATTCGTTTCGACAGCCTTCCGCGGACACTCCGAACTACGACTGCAATCACCAGAACGATCGCCACCGTATTTCTCGAGTGCCGCCATCGCCATCACCATCATCATCGTCATCATCGTTATCATCATCATCACCATCACCATCACCATCACCATCACCATCACCATCACCATCATCACCACCAGCACCTTCACCACCATCATCATGGTCATCATCGTCATCATCATCAGTAGTAGTGCCGTCATCATCGTCATCGCCATCGCATTGGACGCCGCAGCATGATAAACAAGAGCACAACAGCCTCTGCAGATCTGCTCTAAGCGTGACGCAGCAACTTCCGCAGCATGCAGATCTGTTGGGCGAAGGAGCTGGGGTAATGCAAGAGTCATGGGCACGTCAACAGCCATGGACCATTTCAAGACTCTGGTTAGCACTGGACATAGCAGCAGCAATAGCAATGGTCGGAGTTTCAAATGCACCGCGTGTAAGGACGACCTACGCCATCTGCAGTGTGATTCTAAAATCGCAGTGAAACAGCACTAGATAGAAGCTAGCGAGCGCAGCTGCAAGGCATCTGATAGACTTTAGCAGCAGTAGTAGTCGTCGTCGACGAAGTTCAAGGTTAAATGGATAACGTTGACAATCCAGGACAAGTTTCGGTTCTAGTGTTCGCTGATCGCCGATTGCGACGAACCCGCGCTCCGGGGAACGAAAACGATTAGGCACGGGCAGATCGCCAACGTAGCTGGCTGATAAATTGGATGCTGACTTGATATACCCCTAGAGTCCATGGCGCTGAAGAATAAGATTCTTAGGTATTTGCACGCTTTGGGTACGAAAACTCTCCCAGTTAGCCAGCCTGAAGGAGTCTTCGGAAGGATGCTATGTCCTACTATAGAGGCTTTAATAATTAGAATAGGCTTTGGGGGCCCATTATACTATAGTAAGAATAACCCACAACAGTATGGGTAAATATTTCGGCCCCTACATTACATGTGTAGTGCAAGCTTCGAAGGGAGAGTTGGGGGAGCGCATGCTTGGTTGTTCGGCGACTTCGCCGATAGAAGATGCTGAGGTGATGAGATTGTGGTTGATGAAGGCGAACTGTTGTAGAAAGTCGTGAGGCTGAGGGGCTGTATGCCTTTGGCCTCTCAGCTAGTCGTGTAGTTTTTAGCAAAATCATAGACCAGCCACTGCAGATCAGTACACCACTCATTTCAACCGCAGGGTCCTTATCGTGCCTGTTGTACAAGGTGGTTGCTGAGGATTCCAAAGGCTTCATCGGGCTGTGATATCTAAATTGGATACGCAGTCTGTTTCAACCTGACTGTTAGGGTACTACCCCAAGGGTCGCATGTGCCCATCCAAAGTACCTGCCTGGAAACTCCTTTAGGGCCCCAGGATATACTATGCAGGTACCTGGACCTTTGGAAATAGGAATCTGCCAAGGTTCCTTGTGACAGGTGACATCGTATGGGCCTCCATAACATCAGAAGTCTGAACCATGAGATTTGGAAAGACAAGCAGGTCATGACAGGGTTTAGGGTTTATAAGAGCTTGTAACTCTGAGTGCGAGACACACGACTTAGCATCGAGCATTGGAGTCAGTAGTACAGCCATGTTGCACGCAAGCCCGCCGCGATGCTGTCGTTGCTTTGCCGCGACGTGTCTCCTGGTTGGCCTGCATAGAGCTCTTGCAGCTGTGCCATCAGCTGGAGCAAACGAGGAACAGGTTCCTCTCTACCTTTGGGTGCAGGATGAGACAAAAGAGCGCTTCCTGGAAATGTGTACTGAGGAGAATGTGTCCATCTCTGACATGCTGTCGCCTTGATGAGAACAAGCATTTAACTTGTCTTTTGTTTTTTATTGTAAGGCAGGCGCCGGAATCTCAATGCCACATGTTGAAATTTTGTGCCCGCATCATTCCCGATGCTTCGATTGGCGAGCCCATGCTTGTTGTCATGTAAGCGCCACCCGAGCCTCTGTCCCTAGTCGTGCGACTTTCGACCTCGATCCCGCAAGCTTTGCAACCCCCACACTAAGTCCAAACCCCATCGACCCTAATTTGAATCGATGCTTTTCTTCGGGATTCAGCCATGAAACCCCTAAGCGCGATAAAGCTACAGCTGAGGACCAGGTGGGCGGCCACCAGGCGGGGTATCACAGGCTTAGAACCGAATGCGCCCCGAAAGCCTGTTTTCTTTGTTCGGGTCACGGTCACTCCATAAGCGGGTTGCTCTCAATAAGATTTCCTTTTCGGGGAATGTTTGCATAATTTCCATACCAGCTTTCTGGCCAAAGGAGACTTGAAAGGCCCCCTCTCATGCAAAACCCAACCCCACGCATAAGACACCTTGAAGCTCGAGGATCTACTGGTAAATGTGTGCAGAACAAAATATCGTACTATGACTATTATGATTCTGATGATGGCGCCTCTTAAGTCGTTTCTTCTTCTCATTATTAGGATTACGAGTACGGTTATGTTTATTATTGTTGTTTAAGGACCTGGCCCAGTCAAAAGTGCAACATCACTGGTCCGGGAGCGCAGGGCTGTCGCATTGTTTCGCCACTTCCCAAAGAGATGCACCCAGAACAAGTACGGCCCGGGTTTAAAGTTAGAGCCGAAACTCCGGAACCTTCGCAGGTCCGCAGCTCTTGCGCTTCCAGCCGCCCGCTCTCGCGCTGAGGCCCTCTCGGGTTTCAGGGCAGGTTATCGGGGCACTTCTGGAGGAGCCTCAGCATGTAGAGGGATGCTGGAAGTCTTGTTCCGCAGACTTTATCAAATCGATGGAAAGTTGAACAGTGCAGCACAGTGTACCCAAATGTCCACTCGAAGTTATCCAGGTTACTTTCGGCCAGCAATCCCCAAGTCTCTTTGCCAGGGCTTCGAGAGAGGCCCAAGAAAGCCACATCGCAACTTATGTCCATGCCCCCAACCCAAGATCCTAAAGCTACAGCCTGAAGCCGCAAACTTTGAGCCCTAAACACAGCAGAACCCCAAGGCTTGAACTATTTCTAAACCTTGAACCTTAAGCCCAAACCCTAAAGTCGGAGAGTCGAGCTCCGAAATCCCTGCGGTCGGTAAGCCCAGGGCGCTGACGTCGGCACCGCTTCTGGTGGCGCAAGCTTGTCTTCGACAGATCGCCAAAAGCCGACCTCGAGGCCACTAAGCCAAGTGGCTTTTGGCATCACTTTGTCTTGAGGGGAGCCAAACCCGGGATTCGGATAGCGTGCGAAGGCTTTGACCGGATTTTGGCCGAGGAGTTGTGTCAGTTTTGTTTAGGGTTTGGGGTTCATGTACTGATCAAGGGTCAAAGGTGTGTTGTTGGTGTCGGCGTTTTGTTGCACTGTGGTTGCGCACAAGGCTTCGGGTGCACGGCCCTGCACCCTAAACTCCAAAACCCTGAGCATTAAACCGCAAACTCCAAAAGCAGACCCTTCATGGTTTCCTGGGCTGAAGGAGTCCAAATCTTAGGGCTCGGGCTCTGCAAGTCCGCTTTGGCAGCCTCATGGGCTGTCGGGAGCTTCAGCTCAGTGTTTACATAGTTACATAGTTTGTGACCTACAAGCTACAGTCGCTATGGGTATAGTAAGGCCCGCTTGAAGAGGGACATCGGGTTTCTTGTGATCATAGTCAGAGTCCTTATTAAGGAACTACGGGTTAGGGTTCAGGGATTTCAGGGGCAAGTCCCGTAACGCTAGGACCGCGTGGCCTGCCGGCAAGACGATTCTTGAACCCAGGAACTCCAAGCCCCACGGCCGAAGGTTGCACCTAAACCCACAATCCCACCCTAAGCCCTAAACCCTCCCCTGAATCCCTTAAGTATTCTAGGCCTCTTGCCCGCAGCCACCCTAGACGAAGCCGGAAGGTCGGGTGCTTCATCGACAGCTTCTCGGAGCGCAGAGATGTTCATAGCGTTTTTGAGTTTTGAGGGCCAGGCTTCAGAACAAAATAGAGGGTTACGATGTCAGGGTTTCGGGTTTCCACGTGTTTCAGCATGTGGGTTTAGTTTTGTCGAACTCTTTTGTGCCTCCTGTTCATGGACCTTCAATACGAAAAACCATAAACCTACAGCGACCCTATAAACACTAAGACGTTGACCTCGGCACAGAGTTCCTCTAAGGCCGCCCTGTATTCTGCGGAGTTGGACGGGGAATTCCTCCTGAAACTGGGAGAGGCTTAGATGAACGGCAACGGTTTAGGGTTTAGAGTTGCGGGTGCAGCACAGCTTGAAGCATTCACGGGTGGAGGGCATGCACGGGGTTTGCCTGTATTGTGATTAAGGGGTCTGAAGCATGAGTAGGTCCCCAAGTAAATCACTGCGTTTTCCGACACGCTAAACACCCTATTCTGCGGCCCCTAAAGCACAGCTGAGCCCTGGCACCCATAGCCCACACCTTAAACCCGCTAGCTCTGACTTGACGCAGCTAGGGAGTTGAAGCTTCAAGCCATAGGGTCCTAAAGTTAGTATACTATCTTATATTCTAGTTTCTTAAATTTAAATAGTATGATATGTTGCATTACATTACATTACATTACATTACATTACATTACATTACATTACATTGTATATTATGTTGGACTATATCATATTATGTTATGTTACGGTATCTTGTCTTATATTGGGTTATATTGTATGATATGATATTATCAAGATATTATGTTACACTCGAATTGGGTTAGATCATATATGTTATATTATATTATAACATAGCACAACATTATATAGCAATTGTGATATCATCTCACAATATATTCTTTTATACATCATATCTTATACTCTATTATGTTATGCTATGTTATGTTATGT